TGTTTTATATAACAGGAAACAAAGTCAAATAGTTTCAGAAATGCTCTAATTTATGAACATGCCTAGGAGTCTGGATAACTATTTTGATATATGGTTGAAATTGACCAGAACCATCTCCTCTTGGTGCAAGATGTTAGAGAACACTATACTACTGAAAACAAGAACACAACAATAATCCACTGCATTGGGAATAGTGTCATCTTTGGGATGAAAACAGTTCTCTAGGGAGAACATGGCTGTCTTCTTTGCTTTACAATCATTTCTATAAAAACACTTAAAAAAAATGGTAGAAAACACCTGCACTGTACTCCAAATACTTCAAAAAAAAAAAAAAAAGTGCAAGGAATGCAAGTTGCAGAGTCTTGGGTGTGACAGACTGACAGTTATGTGATGGAAATTGAACAGTTTCCCCTCCCCCACCCCCCCCCCCCCCCCAAAAAAAAAAAAAAACAACAGACAAAAGAAGGACAAAGTCTAAGCACTGATGGAGGCGGAGGCAAGAATTCTCTTTTATGAAAATTTTATGTTTTTCCCTCCAATTAATTAAAGTCTTATCGATACATAGTAAATTTTTTAAGATCATAATGGCCAGAAAACTGGATAATGGTGTATATATACAAATAAAAAGAAACAAAAAATCTTGTGAAGGGTCATTATTTTTTATGCAACTTGAACTCTGAAGGGTCATTGTTTTTTATGCAACCTGAAATCTGAATAAGTATAAGCTGAAATTTCGTTTTCCTTCATTATCTTTGTCTTATTTTTCTTCAGACTGTTGGTGGCATGTGTCCCCACATCCATCCCTTCACTAGAGAAAAATATTGGAAGGAAACCTTGAATTTCTTTCTAATGTCTTGCCCTTGTTGTAGGCCTTGATCATATCCATAACTCCATACTTATTCTGTTAGAGATCACAATAAGATTTTTATTTGCTTTTCGATTTGTTTAATTATATAAATATCCATTGACTTTGATTCTAGATCTTATCTATTTTTAGATTGCATTATGTATAATCTTTATTCATATATTTTGTTTGGGCTGGGGAAAAGGGAAATACAACAATTTAAGTTTTGGATTTCATGGTTTTACACCATTATGACTTTTAGTGGCTTTTTGTGCTTTTTTTTAGATTTTGCAATTGAGATCATGAAATCTTGGATATACCAGTTGTGGTTACAACTGCTACACTTACAAAAGTCTTTCCTTGATAAATTGCACTTTAAAGAACATAAAAAAATGTCAAGTATATGTTCAATTCATGCCAAAGGCATTGAAAGTGCTACTCTGCCCAGAGATTGTTGTGTCACCAGGAGATACTGAAACGAAGTAAAATAGCACCACATGCTTTATAATCACACGTATAAAATTCAACCACGTAGTTGTTCTACAAGAGAACCCTACAATTTTTATGTCTTCTTTTCTCGAATTGCAAATTGTAAAGAAGTGTAAATTAAAAGATAAGCAACACTTATTAAAGGTATGGTTAGCTAATTGGTTAAAATACGTAGTTTTAAAGTTAGGTGCTTCCCATATGCACTTCCATCCTTTTCTCAGTAGTCTATACTTCTCCAAAAGTTGCTAACTAATTTTGTGGTCATCACAGACCTATATCCGACACAGTGTTGCCAGAGCATGTACACAGAACAATTTACAACTATTTTAAATGTTCGACTCATACTTCTTTACCATCTGTGTCAAACTTTATTACCCTTTACAAAAATTGCTTTTCCATTTTTCCAGTACTTCCACAATTCTTTTTTTTTTGGGTATTTATCTTCAAAACTACCCATCTCTTTAGTTCCATTAAATGTGTGACTCGTATACTTGTCTTTTTACTTCCATTTGTCTATTTTTAAATGAATACCATATAATTCATCGAAAATGTTGTTAATGATTTATGACAAAAAAACAGCACAACATTAAATATATTTCAGTGTTACCACCTTTACAATCATAGTGGGATGATTACTCCACTTCCTATCATTTAAGAGTCAGCGTGTCATAAATTTAGAAAATAAATAGAGATCTAAACACTGAACAAAATACCAATCTCAACAGCCGAATCCAGATTCTCTTTGTATGTTAAAATTTTGGTCCTAATAATTATTTTGAGAGTAAGAAAATGTTGGAGGAAGGAAGGATGAAAAAAATTTGGTTTACAAGGAGGGTTTCATGGCGGGAGGATCTATTTGAAAAGAGTTAAATTTTGATAGCAAACTAAAGGAAGAGATGCAAAGGATAGTATATTTTTGCCTTGAAGGACAAGCAAAAGGTAATTATGAGGCTAAAAGGTCGAACCTTATCACGATTTATCTCTGTGCAGTGAACCATGACATATTTTTTGAATCACAGAGTAATTTTGTTTCCTTTCACTGGGGTTCAATCTACCAATTTGTATTATTAAGGGGTGGAGTTGAATTGAAGCGGGAGATTTGAATCGTGAATCGGAAAATTTTTAGCTATGGCCCACAAATTTCACTGAAGAGCTATTCCACGTACTATATTTTGACAATATGTTTGTTATTTTGTTTAGCTGTTGTAGGGGGGTGTTAAGAGTATATTTATTGTGTATTTTGTCTATTTCATTAGGTTTAGTCTAGCATTTTTCTTTTTGTAGGATTTTATATAAATTTTCTCTTGTACCTATTTTTTTTCATGGAATATTTTGAGAGTAACCAACGTATTTCTTCTCTCTCCTTTTCTATGTTTGTCATTTATTATCCATAGAGTTTGTTCTAGATTTTCATTATAAAAAAAAATCTCAAAATAGTCAATCTCACCTAATGTTTCATACGGTATCAATTCTAGTGATGAGAAATGATTTTAGTCGGAACGAGATCATTAATGCTTGTAGGCCTGGGTAATTAATGGTAATCACTCTCAAAAGGCTTGATGGATTGTTATTCTTCATGTTGTAGTAGCATTTAATACCAAGAGTGGTTTGTGCATTGAGAAAGGATTGAGATTTAAATAATTTTAGTGGTTGTAATGGTTGAATACTTCGGCATGCACATGTGCATTTATGTGTGCGTGTGCGTGTGCGTGTGCCCGAGTGTGTGTGTATTTGATTGAGAGAGAGAGAGAGAGAGAACATCCCAAGTCCTTGTCCGTGCATAGGAAAGGGAATCAATGCTCAAAAAGAAAAAAGGAGGTTTGTGCATCAGAAGAGATCTAACAAAGGAAGATAATCTCATTGTGGATGTGCTTTGGCAGTTATTTTGATGCATTTCACATCCTTTGAGGAAATTGCCATTTTTTCTAAACCTCTTCCTTTTGACTGTTTCTGTTAGATTTTTCTTTTGGCTAATTATGTTACCTTTTTCTCCCTCTATTTTTGACATATAATTCACATAGGTGAACGTCTTCCCTTATATCTCCAATCCCAAATCCTGCATTAGTGGAGTCATAATTCAAATAGAGGGGATTTGGTATTTTGTTTTTATTGAGAGTAAAAGTTGAGAGTTATGGGGAGCATCATCTTCATAGATACAAATCCTATTTGGAACATGATTCAGTGAAACTTTAGCTTGCTGTAAATAATGTGAACTGTTCATCTCCTCAAGTAGTTACAAGTGCTGGTTGGTCTTTCTAGTATTCATTTTATAGTAAGGCATTCATTAGCGATGCCTATGTTTTGAAAAGGAGCGTTGTTAGCTACTAAAAATTTTTGAGGGGGCTTTATTTTTCAAGTTCCCTAAGGTGCATTGATACCCTCTCAAACACCTTCCTTTAATGAATGGTAGTGTGTTGACAAGGTAATGATAGGAAATCTATTTAATAGGCTAAGGAAATCTATTTAATAGGCTAGCTCTATTTGGAAATTGACTGAAAAAGGTAGCCTAGTAGTACTAATAGTTAATTGGTGGAGATGCTCCGACTGGAAAGAGCCCGTGGAGATTCTATTGCTTCATTTGAGGTGTAGACTCAGTTGCATCCTGTCTATGAAGCATGGACACAGGTGTGGGATGCAGGCACAACAAGACACTGCATGCGGACATGGCAAATCTGAAAGAGTAGGACCACAGGCATGTATAGGACACACTATATATAATTGTATCCTATGTATGAAAAATATACAGTTATCAGTATATATAAATATATTTACCCAATATACTAAGTGGTTACTTTATCACAAGTAAATCTAATACCAAGTATTCAAAATCGTTTAGACTAATAGACTGTAGCAGTCAATGATCACCCAATATCTTATAGGGGAAGTGACCATAGCGTCAGATACGTTGTCAAAGGAGTGTCAGACACATGTTAGAATAAACTTTTTATTTCCTACTCATGGACACAGCCAAAGAATTATCGCGCGTGTCCGAAAGCGTCTGAGAAGTTGCATCAATAGGTGACATGGACATGCAACTTTATCAAAGATATCCAAACTTTCTTAGCTTCCTGTGAACGTTGGGTTTTCGTTTTTGCTTGGGAGATACCCTTTTTTTAGGGGTCCGCCCTGTTAATTTTAATGTTATTTAGGGTGCTATATCTCTTTCTTCATTTAGCTGAGTTTGGTTCCAAGACTTATTAATGTTAGGTGGCTTTATGAATATAGAAGGTATTGCACCTGTGCCATTCTCCCTGGGTGCTTGTCCATATAACATCTCATATAGGAACTAGCAAACTTTCTGTATTTGGGTGTGAGATAATGTTCTTAAGCTCCTTTGTTAGGAGAAAAGCGCATTCTGGAATTTCATCTGCTTGTTGCCTGGGATTGGCCTTGGATAATGTGGTGACTGAACAAGGTCATGGAATTGAGAAAACTGGTCAAGAATAACTGGACATTTTCTTTTCATTTCCATTTTTTGGTGAGGGTTTATTTTCCTCTTTGGTTTTTTTTTTTTTTTTGGGGGGGGAGTTAAATGTCTGTGGTGGAGGTTGGATCTATAGTCTAGATTTATTCTATTCAGTTTGCAGATCATATCTATAGGAGGGTTATCTGTATTTGCTTATTTTTGTTGAGTTGTTCACATTGAATTAATTTGGCCTAGGCTTCTATGATGGAGACTGGTCTGACTAAGTCAGCATTGGAAGCTGGGGATGAAGTTGCATTTAACAAATTTCATTTTTTTAATGCCAGTTTTTTTGCTTATTTCTGTCTTGCACCTTTTTTTTTTTTTTAAATCTTGATCTGACTTTGGCCTTTTCTTTTATCTGATCAGATACTCAAAACCCTTTTCGAAATAGTTTTATTTGAAGACTGTGGCAATCAGTGGAGTCTTAGTAGACCAATGCTGAGCTTGATACTCATCAGTGAGCAGGTAAGGGATTGCACCAACTTTTTGCTGCTTTTCCTTATTCTTGACTCTTTATTTAATCAATTACATGGAAAGAACTTCATAGATGTTATGTTGATTATGAAGGAGCATGGTTACTGTGCCTCAACTTAACCCAGGCAGTTCTATTCATTCAAGATAGAAGTGCAAGAGAATATTTGTGAAAGAATACTCCACTTTGTGACTTTTTCATCAGCCTTTAACTTTTAATTTTCTGTTTTAACAATCAAACTATGCAAAGTTTGACTTTAACCAATATAATATTAATATGTTTGGAAAGGATTTAAGTCTAGATTGTGCTTCAGTTAATTCTTTACCATTTTGACACCCAAAAATTTTAAAAAAAAAAATAAAATTTGAGCTCAAACTCTCTTCTAAATTCTGCTGTTACAGTCTAAATTTATCCTATAATGTTTTGTCCTGGTGGAGTGCTGGACTCTCTTGTTTGTGCCAAATGTCAAAAATATTACAATCTACCGCTTGGATGGCATTTGTGAATTAGAATCTCCCTGGGTGGTCTGGCTTGCATGGGGTAAAACCTTTGGTATTGATATCACAGGCCTTGAAACTTTAGTTGTCCCTTGAATCAGTATTTCATCATCCTTGGCCTACTCAAGAAACTCTTCATAAACCTTCATAGTCTCCATACATAGAAGATAACAGAGTTGCATTTTGATTTGGAGAACAATCACTTTTGTTCATTTGTGTTTAAGTGCCTAGAGAGGTGATGTTCACATCTATAGATAAACAAAAAATGTTGCTGCCGCATGGGTAATTTCAACCCTTCACATGATTCAGGTCAGAATCTCACATCTATGAATCATTAGTTTGTCATAGTCTGAAACTTTTTGGCCATGTGGTTTGCATTTTGCAGATATTTACGGATTTGAGGGCTCATATTTTGGCGTCACAGGTGAGTTTTTACCTTGCTATGTTATTTTTGAATAGTATTTGCCTTTAGTTAAAAAGCTGCAGAACATTAGCTGGCTTAGCTATTTGCAAAGTATTTGGTGTAAAAAATATTGAGCTGATGGTTTCTGGAGTCTCTGTGTCAGCTTACGGCTTGGTACACTATTCTAATACTTAAATAGAATGTTGTCATATTTTTTTTTAGTTTCAAAAAAGAATGTTGTCATGTTGAACCCATTGTGTCTGCATGGGGCTTTTGATTTGGGCCTCCTGCATGATTCCTAAGCAAACCAAAGATAGAAGATGGAAAAAGAAACAGCAAAAAGAAAGTCTGTTTATTTCCGAAGATTCTTGAATTTCATGAAAACTGTTTTGTATACAAGCTTGTGTACCTATTATGCATTACAGCAGGGACAAATTTATCGGATCGAACAGAAGGATTTTTTCTAAAAAAGTTGTGGGATACTTGCAACGCATGAGACAAATTGACAGGAACTACCAAGAAAACATCCTTAATTGTGGGCTGCTTGCAATGCATGAGACAAATTTATAGGAGTTTTGTTTAACTGTGGGCTGCTTACAATGCATCTCTTATGTTTCATCTCTCTCAGTGGAACAGAGAGAATAGTATCTGTGTAGAACAGTGGTGTGGACCATATGATATTAAATTTGTAGTTGATGCTCATGACATGAGCAGCATCACTTGTGTTTTTGTTCTTGCTGAAAGAATTGTAAACCATATGTTTTGTGATTTTTTTCCTTGTCAGTGTTTCAGTTCAATTTGTTATTTGTTTACACTTCCTGTTTATCTATATTACTTCAACCATATTTGTCACACCATGTACTCAGGTAAATTCTAGTCATGTAATGGGTAACTTAATTCCATAAAATTCAGAGCTCTAATTAACTCCAAATATACCAATAATCCCACCATTAAAGAAAAGCTAAAAATACACCATTGACATAACCTCATATTTAATCACTGGAAGAATGGGAGCATATAATAGAAACCCCCTCATCATTATCCATCAAGGCCTGTACACATCAACCTCAGGAAGCCAAGCATCATTTCCTAAGATTTCCACACAATCAGTTCACAAATCACCACTTGATTCTGAATTTCCTTCCATCTTTCCATTTCCCCTTCTGGTTTTCCCCCATCCAGCCACCCTTTTCTCTCTTCTCTTCCTTTTTATCTCTGAACTAAACTGCTTGATTACTCCTCTCGTTTTTTTCTTCCTCTTCTCTCCCTTCTTTCTTTGCACTTATCTTTTTCTGTCATCTCTGTACATGTTTTACACACAGGTCTTCTAGGTCCTCTACATGCCACAAAAGGTGGACACTCGTCCCCTTCTCCCTATCCTAACTGTGTCATTGCATTGTAGTCTTATGGTGTGATCTCCTTTAAGTAAAGCTGGCAGATTAGCTCATGAGGCATGCTTTCTGTTGCTTGTAGGTTGATATCTACATTTAGTGATGGTTCGGAAACTATTATATTGTTTACTGTTTCCATTGTTCGTTCCTGCTTGTCGTTGAAATTGACACTTGATTTTTTTTGTCTTGCAGCCAGCAGATCAGCATCAACGCCTTTCCTTGTGTTTTGATAAACTAATGGCTGATGTTACTCGAAGCTTGGATTCAAAGAACAGGGACAAATTTACCCAGAATTTGACCATATTTAGGCATGATTTCCGTGTGAAATAGTATCTCTGTCTCTCCCTTGCTGTAGCAGTGGCTCATGTGTGAAGTATTCTGCATCAGCGGAGATGATTTGTGTCAAATAGTTCTCTCTTGGTTTAGCCCCCACCGTATGTATATTTCATTGCATTAAAAAATATACCTTTTGAAGAATTCCCTGCACCATACCCAAGTAGCTGCAGACATGGATTCTTTGGCCGTTGAATGGGAGCATCATTGTGCTGCAGTTCATATAGATATGATGAATGAACTGAAGAGAAGAACAATATACAAAATACATGGTTTTGCAAGGGGGAATTCCTGAATGAATACTTGGTGGTGGTGGTGGCTCTTTCTTTGTTTGCGAGCAGAGAAGGTACTAGAACATAGATTAGGATACTATCCCGAAAAGATTTCTGGGGGTTGCCCAAGATGTTACTGGGTTTTTTTAACCTTTAGGTTGCTAGTGGCCAATGATAAATTTGAACATTCATTTTAGATGTAAATCATTCATCAGCTATTGTTTTTTTTGGATTGATGGATCAGTTTGAAGTTAATTTTGGTCATCAATCTTATTCTTTTATCTTGTTGATAGAGTACCAAAAAAAAAGTGGAATTCATTGGAAATGGTGGAAATTTTTCTTTGCTGGTTATTATTGTTTGTCATTATTTCCCTTGATTAACACCTTGTGCCTGTCTACCATGGCCCCTGCGCCCAAGCTGCACCAAATGTTCAGCAAACATGAGGGTGAACAAGGGTAAATACCAGATGGGATTACAATCTGCATGGTTTTTCACATTTACTTCAGTTTTAACAGTCAGATACCAGTTTGATCTACTGTGTACTTGGATGCAATTTCATTATGTGGAATTTGTGTTTGTGTGTGTGTGTGTGACGTGGACAATGCTAAAAGACTGATTTTTTCCGAGTGATCATGTGATAGCATTTTCTTCTCTCCTTCCAAGGTTTATCTTGGGCTAACAAAGCCTGTTTCAAATGCCAAACAAGAGGGAAAAATATGTTCTGAGGCCTTCAATTGTGTTCTCAGCCTCACATTGATTCTTCAATGACAGATGGTTCTTCTGTTGTTGTACTTTCTAACTTTAGGACTTGTTTGGTAATGTTTTTGTTTCTCGTTTTTTGTTTTCATTAATGTTTTAATGTTTGTACTTTCAACTCTAGTTATTGGTTTCAGTAAATTTGACCAAGATTGATTGCGATCTCACAAGCAATACCTGAATTTTCCTTGGGTCTTTTTCTTGCAAATTGGAACCAACTCCTTGAAATTCATATTAAGCTCATCATTCATGTTATGTATAGCTTGAGCCTCTTCTTTCCATTCTCATTTTTATGGCATCTTTCTTCTTCAGAATCTTTATTAAAGAAACTTGACAACAGAGGGGATTTTATACATCACAGAGGTTCACATAATTTTATTAAATATCAAATTTTCTTTCATTTTTCAAATTTTTCTTCAATGTCTAAATTAAATAATTCAACTTGTAATAGAAATAAACAAAAAGAATATGTGGGAATAAGTTTCAAAATGTTAGCTATCTTATTATATAGATTTTGAATGAATAAAACATGAAATTTTTTTTTAAAATTTTTTATAAGAAAGCATTAATTTAATTCAAAAAAAAAAATTAATCCTAAGAACAGAAATGCCTATTCAAATTATGGAGACATAAGGTCCTTGAACACTGTCCCTCATTTTACAATGCCTTTAAACTATTGATTTGAATTTCACATTGTCGTAATCGTTGACTAATGTTCAAATTTTCGTGACAAATTAGAGCACAAACAAAATTTCAGTCAGCTTAGAAAGGAAAGACCACATCACATCTTCTAACATTATGACATTTTATTTTTGTCCTAAAAACAGTTGGACAAGAGTCAATGTTGAAGGTAAAGTTCAACCCATACCAATAGTTTAAAAATGCAATGTGAGAAAGCGGATAGCTTAAAGCATCTTCAACCGGTATGCCAGCTGTCAGGTGGAGGCCCCAACGGCTTTTTTTGACATACAAGGCTTCTCCAACCCAAAATTTATTTCAAATACATATATTAAATTAATATAATGAAAGAGATTTAAAGACAAAAATTGGATAAAATAAATTGTTTTTACATATTGGTTAAAGTGCAAGGTGAAGATGTCAAATTATTACATAAGCCTTCAAATTAAATTTGACATATATCGTTTGATTGGAGATACTCTTTGGAGCAATGTAAAATGAGGGGTGTTGATGAGATGTGATTGTAATTGGGGGGTGATGTTGGTAATTGCGATGTGATTGTGGCGGCGGCGATGGCAATGGGATGGTGGAGGTCGTGGTGGTGTGGGTGGGGATGAGACAATACGAGGCAGTGGTGGGCTTGATGGATGAGAAAAGGCAAAATTAAAAAATTAATAATTTTCAAATTTTACTTTTTTTTTAATTCTTAATTCAGCTACAAAATAATAAGTATGAACACAAGTCATAAAGCACAACCAATGAATAGGAAGGGTAACGTAAGGCATAGCCTTTGAGACAATCCCCCATCGTATAAAGAAAGGGAAGGGGGGGGATGAATTTGTGACATTGCTTACATCATTTGCTTGCAACTTAGATTGTGGCTCTGGATATAGCTGAGAGACAGACATTACATTATCACAATGCACTTTAAGAGAGAGAGAGAGAGAGAGAGAGAGAGAGAGAATAATAAGGAAGAAAAGTGAGACGTATGGGCATTCATCACGAGAACATTGCCTCCATATCCACATTGTATAAGTCCGATAATTTATAATATAAAAAGAATAGGTTTCAATAAATTCATCTAACGGTTTTAAATAAATTCATTTAACAGTCGTCAATATCTCTCTTAAAACTATTCACATTATACCGTTCTTTCAGACACGAGTTATCCTTAATTTTAGATATAATTCGTGATCACTAATGTTATTGAGATATAATTGAGGGACACTATTTGAAGAGATAATGCATCGTGACAAGTGGATGATAGTGGAATATATTTAATAATGAGACTCATTGCAACCTTAAATGTATTTCATTATCACTCCATTAGTCATAATATATTATGTTCTCAAATTATATCACAATAGCATTGTTTATTCGTGATTACAATGAAAAATTAATAGAATTAAATTTAATTTCAAAGGATTGAATATTAAATAGGGTGAACTCGACAGATTTTTTCATTTGATAACACTCGTAATGATCTGCTTGTTCAATATCAAATTAGTACGGTTAAGCCTAATTTAAAATAGATTGGACTAGGCTTGTTAATAGGTCGGATTCTGACTAATTTGAATCTAAATTAGATTTCAAAAACTTGATTTGAATCCAATTTGATAATTCGATGAATTTTTATTTTCGTGGTCCATATTTGAATCCGTTAATAATTTGAAATTCGATCCAATCTGAATAATTTAATTAACTAAATTTTAACTAAATTTCTCTAAATAATCACTTAATTTTTTAAATATTTTTATACAAATATATAAATAATTCAGATCAAATCATAATATTAATTTGAATACATGAAATATAAGATATCATACTCAGATTCAGAGTCGAATTATCGATAAAAAAATATTAATCTATAACCAACTAATCGGATTCGAGTTTGAATTAGAGTCCGATCTATTGACAAGCTCGGATTCAATGGTAAATTTGTAGACATGCGAGATCTAGTACATCTAATTATTATAGATACAATTTGGTAAATATGCACCAAAATGACTTAATAAATAGATCGACATGAAATTTGATGAATTACATTACAATAAATTTTTTGAAAGTTTATTGACCTTTGAACGAGTCTATTTTAAATTATCGAATAGATTTATTAAATGTTGTGTGTTTTATATTATAGATATAGATGTATTGTATTACGGCATGTCATGTGATTGGACACGTCATGAGAAACTCAGCCATCAGTTTCATTGGAGCAAGTTATTATCAACTTAAGAAAAGGAAAATCCAAGAAGGCAACGTAAGTTCATGGCTTCATGTTCATGCATTTCCACCTTTCCTTTCCTTTCACAAGTTTTTTGTTTTCATACACATAATAATAGCTCGACATCATTGATCCTAGTTGCACCCCCATCATACATAATTTATTTAAAAAACACAAAATAAAAAATAAAATTTTAAGAATAATTAATTATTTGGTGTTGATTAAGTTTGCAATTGTGCTCCTTCCAATATATTCCATTAACGAGATCTAAATTATACATGGACTTGTACAACTAGTTGGGGGTATTGACATTATAATCGATCGATCGAGTTTATACAAAAAAATAGATCACACATTATTAATGAGTGAGGAAATTACTTATATATAATAAGTTATATTGGAATCTATGGTAAATAATTTCACTCGCCAAAAAAAAAAAAAGTCATAAATAATTTTTTTTTTCAACAGTCAGGGGTGTATCTATGTCAACTTATTCTTACCTCAACTAATCTTTTCTTTAGTTCAATCAAAAGTAAGTCATCCAGGCCGAGAGTAAAATATTCATAACCCTACATAATTAACTAATCAATTTCATACATGTTCATTCCTAACTATATTTTATTATTATATCTACACATAAAATTAATATATCCCTAATAAGTAATAGATCAATATAACATTTATATAATAAAGTATGTTACAATTCAAATTTCAAAAAATAAACAAAATGATTTTTACTTTTCGTGGTTGAGATTTTTTAAAATTTTACTTTAAAATTAATCTGACGGCTAATATTAAAACCCCAAATTTAATAGAAAAAATAGGTCCCTAAAGATACGTTTGGAATTACCTTTTAAAAGTGTTTTTAGGAATTATTCTTCATAAATATTTTTAAAAAAAATAGTGTTTGGAACCACCTCACTACTACATCTACCACTACCACCACTACCTCTGTCACCACTACCACCGTTGACACCATTGCCACCGCCACTATAGCTGCCACCATCGCCGCCATCGCCACCACCACCACTGCCCTCTAGGGGTGCAATTCGGGCGGGTTGAACAA